AAGTGGCCAATGAGCGGAAGCTCAAGCTGGGTGTTTCTAATGAAGTGAGTGTTACTCATACACTCATTGATGTGAAGTTAATCTTCAGTGCAGCACTAAACACACCAAGCGTGCAGCACTAAACACACCAATTACTTTCTTTTCACACTTCATGTTTAAACCCTTTTCACAGCTTGTCTTTGTGTTTTTCTCCGCGGCCTACTTTTCTCCTCGCTGTGCTGAACTTTCCAGCATACACTTCAAGGTCAGGCAACACAGCGGAGATCCAGGAGCCATCAATTACTGCCTTCCATTTACAACAGGTTTCATGTTTTTCCAAGAGATATTTTGTCTTTTCTTTTCTGACAGACATTCTTCAAATATGTGGCACAGGCTGCAGATACATCAGTCACGCATGCCATTCCTCTCAGCTTTGTGTCTGCTCTGCAATTGATTGGTAATCCTAGCCTGACAGCGTGATTCACAGTAAACAGAGGCAGAGTTACACTTTTAAAAAAGATGGCTATTCAAAGGTTCTTTAATAAAGACAGTGGTTCTGTATAGAACCAAGATTGATGGAGAATGTGTTGCATATGGTTCTATATGGCACCGAAAAGGAATCTTTTATTGTTATGAAGTCAAGCTTGTCCTTTGACAATTCATGGTTCTATATAGAGCCACTGTCTTTACTACAGAACCCTTGAAGAACCATGTTTTTAAAGAGTGGACCTTTATTTGTTTACTGATATGAGTGTTCACTGCAAAAAATGATATTTTAACAAGTGAAATGATCTTAAATCTAGCTTAACTATGTAATATTTCTCATTACGATTGTTAAGCTTATATGATTATTTTACATATTTCTAGACATTTTTACTTGCTTTAAGTAATTTCAGTAAGTAAAATTATCTGACTATATTGGCAGATAATTTTGCTTATTTTAAGAAATGTGCCAAGATATTGAGATAATTTCACATCATAAAATTACTTAAAACAAGTAAAAATGCCTAGAAATATATTAAATGATCTTACAATAAGCTTAGAACCTTAGAATCTTAAAATCAGACAAAATAAGACATTTAAAATAGATTTAAGATAAGTTCACTTGCTAAGGGGTTATTTTCTCCAGGAGTTTAGAGGCTGAGTGAGCATTCACTGAACCTCAACTGCTTGAGTCTGTAAGAACGCTGTAGATTTAAATGTTCAGATTTGTTAAATCAGCAAAATTTCAAAAGCAGCATGCAAAAGATCTGTATTTTAATGTGTTGTGAAATGCACAGATAATCAGATTTCTCTTCAATAATGCAGACTTCCCACAAGGGGGCGCTGTTAATTCTAAAAATAGGCTAAAGATAAACTTCTGCATAACTCAGTGTGTGAGATGTAAACAGAGAGATTCAGAGCGGTTTGGTGTGAAATGGTTCAGATGTCTTTACAGTGGTGGTGATAGGAACCAGGGGTCGCCATGACTACAACACAGATATAGACATTTTATTTACTATCCAGAACCACCAGTGAACCTACACGAGTCTTCTGAGTTTATATGGAATGCTGATGATGGAAAATAGTGGAAAATCTGAAATAATAAGTTTTCTTTGGGGACTATTTTGCCTCACAGCGCCCTGCATGTATCCCTTCACCATGAATGGAGTTTAAGTTCTCAAAACTATCATAAAACAGTGTCTCAGTCATCAGGCACTGAATTCATAACCATTTCATGTAGTAACTTTCTGTGAGGGAGCTTTTAGAGGTGGACGTCTGGTTCCTATCACCACCACTGTGAACAGTTCTGACTCGGTAAGGTTCTCTAGAACGGAGCGTTTCACACCAAACCACTCGGAATGACTTTGTTTACATCCATCTAATTGTGCAGAAAATTTGAAAATCCTCTTTTTGAAATCCTCACTTAAACACAGCGACACTCTTCAGGAGGTTTACTGAGATGATTAAGTGACTCTCTGTGTATTTATTTGTGTTTGCTGCCCCCTTCTGACCCCCACTGTGAATTACAGTCCAACCTTGAAGGGGAAATCTACTGATTTTTCAAAGCAGATAGGACACAAGTATGCACTAGCTAAGCTCTCCAGTCAGTACAGAGTTATCCACTAGCTAAGTATCCCAGTTAGGACACAAGTGAGCACTAATTAGAATGTAAGTACACTATAGTTAGGACACAAATAACTGGGCTGAAGTGCACACTAGCTAGGCACTGATGTTAGAATACAAGGCCACACAAGTATTCTAGTTGACACACAACTACGCACACAAGTAAGCTAATCACAGTAAGTAAGACACAAGTACACACTATCTAAGCATCCCAGTTAGGACATGAGTGCACACTATAACCACGTGAACACTAGCTAAACATCCCGGTTAGGACATGAGTGTACACTATAGCCAAGTAAACACTAGCTAAACATGCCGGTTAGGACATGAGTGCACACTATAGCCAAGTAAACACTAGCTAAACATCCCAGTTAGGACATGAGTGCACACTATAGCCAAGTAAACACTAGCTAAACATGCCGGTTAGGACATGAGTGCACACTATAGCCAAGTAAACACTAGCTAAACATGCCGGTTAGGACATGAGTGCACACTATAGCCAAGTAAACACTAGCTAAACATGCCGGTTAGGACATGAGTGCACACTATAGCCAAGTAAACACTAGCAAAACGTCATGGTTAGGACATGAGCGCACACTATAGCCAAGTAAACACTAGCTAAACATCCCGGTTAGGACATGAGTGCACACTATAGCCAAGTAAACACTAGCTAAACATGCCGGTTAGGACATGAGTGCACACTATAGCCAAGTAAACACTAGCTAAACGTCATGGTTAGGACATGAGCGCACACTATAGCCAAGTAAACACTAGCTAAACATCCCGGTTAGGACATGAGTGCACATAGCCAAGTAAACACTAGCTAAACATCCCAGTTAGGACATGAGTGCACACTATAGCCAAGTAAACACTAGCAAAACGTCATGGTTAGGACATGAGCGCACACTATAGCCAAGTAAACACTAGCTAAACATCCCGGTTAGGACATGAGTGCACATAGCCAAGTAAACACTAGCTAAACATCCCAGTTAGGACATGAGTGCACACTATAGCCAAGTAAACACTAGCTAAACATCCCGGTTAGGACATGAGTGCACACTATAGCCAAGTAAACACTAGCTAAACATCCCAGTTAGGACATGAGTGCACACTATAGCCAAGTAAACACTAGCTAAACATCCCAGTTAGGACATGAGTGCACACTATAGCCAAGTAAACACTAGCTAAACGTCATGGTTAGGACATGAAGGCACACTATAGCCAAGTAAACACTAGCTAAACATGCCGGTTAGGACATGAGTGCACACTATAGCCAAGTAAACACTAGCTAAACATGCCGGTTAGGACATGAGTGCACACTATAGCCAAGTAAACACTAGCTAAACATCCCAGTTAGGACATGAGTGCACACTATAGCCAAGTAAACACTAGCTAAACGTCATGGTTAGGACATGAAGGCACACTATAGCCAAGTAAACACTAGCTAAACATCCCAGTTAGGTCATGAGTGCACACTATATCCAAGTAAACACTAGCTAAACATCCCAGTTAGGACATGAGTGCACACTATAGCCAAGTAAACACTAGCTAAACATGCCGGTTAGGACATGAGTGCACACTATAGCCAAGTAAACACTAGCTAAACATCCCAGTTAGGACATGAGTGCACACTATAGCCAAGTAAACACTAGCTAAACATGCCAGTTACTGTGATTAGCTTACTTGTGTGCGTAGTTGTGTGTCATATAGAATACTTAGTTAGTGTGGCCTTGTATTCTAACATCAGTGCTTAGCTAGTGTGCACTTCAGCCCAGTTATTTGTGTCCTAACTATAATGTACTTATATTCAAATTAGTGCTCATTTGTGTCCTAACTGGGATGCTTAGCTAGTGGATAACTGTCTACTGACTCAACAGCTTAGCTAGTGCATACTTGTGTCCTATCTGCTTTGAAAAATCAGTAGATTTAAGTAAACACTAGCTAAACATCCCGGTTAGGATATGAGCGCACACTATATCCAAGTAAACAAACGTCACGGTTAGGAAACAACTGTACTATAAGTACTTATATTCTAAGTATTGATGTTAGAACCCAGTGGTCAACACTGGTTGCCTGTATTAAATGAACATATAAATTGCTGTGTTGGTTTTTCTTTGTGCATAACTAAATCTGTCCATCATTTTTACATGTTATAACATAGTAATATCATATCAATAACACTAGAAAAGTGCAATTTCTGAAGAACATGCAGAGTGATTGCGCAGCCTAATCATTTCCAAGATGGTTGCTAGGGTGTTTCCTGGCAGTTACTACGGTATTTTTGGTCGTTGCTATGGTATGTCAGGGGTTGCTAGGGTGTTGCAGCTATGGTATCCCAGGTGGTTGCTAGGGTGTTGCTAAGTGGTTGGTACTGCACCCCACATGGTTAAATGGGTGCTGCTAATGGGTTTGCATCATCATGATTTAAGCTGGGTGCACAAACTTTTGCCCTCATTCATTCCAGGTGAGAAAAAAAATCGTCTTTTAATGATGATTTTACAAAAAAAACGAACAAAAAACGAACAAACAGCTGCATACAGGCACACCATTCCTGATCAGATTGAGACTGAATCTCATTATTATGACATTGAGTCATAATTATGAGAAAATAAGTCATTATATGAGATGCCAAAATGATGAGATACTAAGTCATAACTATGAGACTGGATCTCATTATCATGAGATAGCAAGTGATAATTATGAGATACTAAATCAAAAATATGAAAACCTTCTTATTATTATGACTTACTAAATAGCTATATATATTTTTTGTTGTTGTTTTTTTCCTGTGTCAGAAACGGGCTTCCAAAATATTTCAACCCTGACTAGTTAAGCGTTCTGATTAAGCACAACTCTGCTTGCTAAGCATCCTAGGCACCCTAGGTAGTGCACTAGGTCGCATATTGGAGCGCGCCCTCGGATTTAGCTTTGCTCCTTCCTAAGTAGGGAACACTTGGAAAATTTTGGAGAGGTTTGTCACGGCTCGGCTTGGCACACAGCCTTGGTAAGCAGCTACGCTGTGGGTTTGGACTTAAAACTTGTAGACTCGCTTGTAGTGTAAATGTTCAGCTGCCGACTCGCCCGGGAAAACGATGTTTTAGTGGCTTTTATCGCGGCTCCGTCTCTTTCAGCATCCAGCGCTGATTCAGGAGTGATTAACCGCTAAGCTAAAGCTGCAGGAACGCTAACCGGCTAGCCTGTCTCTTCTGAACTCAACCTGGCGGTTTTGACAGCCGGTGTTTTTGACTGGACCCTTGTAGATCATGTCCAATGTAAAGATTGTTCTATGTGCTGTGTTGAATGTCATTATTTGTACTAGATAGCCCAAGTTTGGCTACAAACTAGGCTAACTTTGGGTGCTAGCTAACGTTCAGACTTAGCTAGGTTAGCTCCTCTGTGTTATCTTGCTGACTTGACTGTATTTTCTAACAAAAGACAGCAACAAATCGTTTATTTCTCTAATCCCTGTGATTCGGGGTGTGTGAGCAGATACATAACGACCTGTGAGACTAATATGAGTCAGATAAAATCTCCTTATTCTCATTTCTGCTTCCTTAGGTTTGGATTTAGGATGTGGGAAGCTTCCTTCCAGCTGACCAAACAAATGATGTAACTTAGGGATCTGTATTGTTTTTCCACCTGCAAAGAGCTATATATATATATATATACACCGATCAGGCATAACGTTATGGCCACCTCCTTGTTTCTACGCTCATTGTCCATTTTATCAGCTCCACTTACTATATAGGTGCACTTTGTAGTTCTACAGTTACAGACTGTAGTCCATCTGTTTCTCTGATACTTTGTTAGCCCCCTATTACCCTGTTCTTCAGTGGTCAGGACCCCCATGGACCCTCACAGAGCAGGTACTATTTGGGTGGTGGGTCATTCTCAGCACTGCAGTAACACTGATGGTGTGTTAGTGTGTGTTAGTGCTGGTCTGAGTGGATCAGACACAGCAGTGCTGCTGGAGTTTTAAACACTGTGTCCACTCACTGTCCACTCTATTAGACACTCCTACCTTGTCGACCCACCTTGTAGATGTAAAGTCAGAGACGATAGCTCATCTGCTGCTGCACAGTTTGTGTTGGTCATCCTCGAGTCCTTCATCAGTGGTCACAGGACGCTGCCCACAGGACGCTGTTGGCTGGATATGTTTGGTTGGTGGACTATTCTCAGTCCAGCAGCGGCACTGAGGTGTTTAAAACTTAGGATTTGTTCTTAGGTAAGAACAGAATCTACACACACTCAAGGGCACAAAGGTGAGAACAGTTCTGCACTTTAAGAACAGGTCATGAATCTGACGTAGACTTTTTCTGAGGATCTTTCTCAGGAACACATTTAAGAACAAACTTAGGGAGACATTTGAGAGTGAGGCCCAACTTCCTGTTGCATGACCCAGTTTTGGCCTGGCCTAAGCTGCGGGACAGATGGCGGCACATTGGTCTCAGGAATATTCTATATAAAGTGGAGTTCATCACTGTCTCAATAGCCACGTTTACATGCAGCCTAATATTCCGTTAATAATCCGACTAATAGCTCAACCAGAACAGAATACGTCCATGTAAACACCTCAGTCGGAATAGTCTAGTCTGATTGAGGCCATTCTGAATACCGTTTCTATCCGACTGTTCAAGGTGGGTAATCCTGTAAATGATCCGTTAAATAGAAGAATAATATCCGTGTAAACGCCTGTATCTGATTACATTCCCTATCGGAAAGTTTAAGTCCGTTCTGATCATGTTCGTCACGTCGTAGTGAAAGTTTATACCGTTCAACATGGCGGAGCAGAAACTGGTCTGCAGAGGAGACGAAGTTTATGCTCTGATCTTTAAAAGACGGCGGTGGGACGGACGTCCAGCTTATGTGTCTCAGAACACGACGTCCTCCTCTCGGCCTTCTTTAATAAGGACATGTGAAGGACGTTTTCCTGAGTCTGACATCATTTTAAAGGAATTAAAAACACAAGCGCTGCTCACTGCTGCTCATCTCACTCTGACTGGACTCACGTGATGCTGGTTGTTATGGTAACGTCAACACTAAGCGGTTCTGTACGCTTGCATGTAATTTTAGATCGGATTATTTGTAGTGAGCATGTAAACAGAGATTTTCATCAGATTGTTGAGTAGAGTGATAATAAACACCTCAGTCTTAATCTGTAATCAGAATGAATTCAATCAGATTGGCAAAAGTCTTTGCATGTAAACCCAGACAGTGACTGCAGGTCATCATGAGGTGTTTGTGGTGATACACTGTGTTTGGTTTATCTCCACGTCGGTCTCATCAGTCCAGAGGATGTTGTTCCAGAACCTCTGCGATTTGTTCAGATGCAGTTTTGCGTACCTGCCACGTTCCTTTTGGAGAGAGTTTTTCAAGTCATGAAAGCCGTTTGTGTTCAGTCTTTCTCTAATTGGAGCATCATGAACATTAGAGGTGTGACGATTCTCCAAATCCAACGTTCAGTTCAAACTTTGGTTGTTTGGGGTGAATAAGCAAAAAAAGTGTTTGTATCGCAGTTTCAGTCTCCATTTCAGAATCGTTACACCCTTAATAAACATGTGATGTGCTTACAGAGGCCTGCAGGTCACATAATGTAGCTTTTGGGTTTTTATTTTAATTTCTGAGCTTTATATTTATATTTATAAAGTATAAATCCTTATATTCACATGTCTATACATTTTTAAATCTCCTAACTAACCAATATCTTCCTACCTAATCCTCATTCACCAATATCTCTATTAATTTTTTCTTTATTTCTCTTTTTTCTTATATCTCTATATTTTTTTATATCTCTTTATATCTAAAATATATAATTATGTTAACAGTCTGACTAGGGCTGAAAGATGAATTGGTTTTATATTAAAATCACATTTTCACAGAGTGCATATAGCTGCAGTTTTTTAAATAATAGCCTACATTATCAAAAACGTCTTAAGCTTTAAGGGAAAGGAACACACAGCTTGTGAACTGCCTGTAGATGAGTCAGATCCAACCAAACCTCCATGTGTTGTGACATCGCAAACCACAACTTACTGGCAGTCTGACTCACTACATTGAGGGGTCAAGGCTCAACCAGAAAAGGTGGATATTCTGATCTTCTTGGCCAAAATAACAGGCCCAAACCTCATTTATAGAAAATAATCGCAATGTTAGTCAGAAAAATTGCAATTAAATACAGCCCCATTTCCAAAAAAGTTGGGACGCTGTGCAGAATGTAAATAAAAACAAAATGCAATGATGTGCAAATTATTTAAACCCTATATTTCATTGAAAATAGTACAAAGACAACAAATCAGATAAATTTGCCCATTTTGAATTTGATGCCAACAACACGTTCCAAAAAAGTCGGGACGGGGGAACAAAAGGCTGGTAAAGTTGTGTTATGCTAAAAAAACACCTGGTGGTTGATTGACAACAGGTCAGTAACATGATTGGGTATAAAAGAGCATCTCAGAGAGGCGGAGTCTTTCAGAAGTAAAGATGAGGAGGGGTTCACCACTCTGTGAAAGACTATGTGATCAAATAGTGCAACAATTCAAGAATAACTTTTCTCAACTTAAAACAGCAAAGAACTTCTGCTTTTCATCATCTACGGTACATAATATCATTAAAAGACTCAGAGAGTCTGGAGAAATCTCTGTATGTAAGGGACGAGGCCAAAAACCAGTATTTGCTGGCCATGATCTTTGGGCCCTCAGACAGCACTGCATTAAAAACAGACATGATTCTGTAGTGGAAATCACTGCATGGGCTCAGAAACACTTCTGAAAACCAAGGTGAACACAGTTCATCACTGCATCCACAAATGCGTCAACAAAAGTTTCAACATTTGATATGTTGTCTTTGTAGTATTTTCCATTAAAAATATGGTTTACATGATTTGCATATCATTGCATTTTTATTTACATTCTGCACAGCGTCCCAACTTTTTTGGAAATGGGGTTGTATTTAGCCCAAATCGTTCAGCCCTACCTTGGATTGAATTTGCTGGGGTCACCCACTATTTGGAAGACTGTCAGCTGTTAACAGTCTTCACTGTAGCATGGTGACTTTCAGATGGAGATGACCTCATAACCCTAAGCTCAACCTGTCAAACTCAACCACTAAAGGGGCCGTATTAAAAAATCGCAACATAATCCGTGAGCCAGAGGAAATAATGTTTTTATTTCGTTTTTAATTAATGCTGTGCTGTAACCTGAACTGACCATTGTTTATTCATAATGTGCAAAAACCTCAGCAGTAAAATAGACACTTATAATTGACCTTGAAATATTACATAAATACTTGAAATATCCAAAATGTAAACGTCTCCAGGAGCTCAGTCTTTTAGACCTACCTGTCTGCTTGAATTAGACACCTGACATTACCTGTTCATTAAGACTTGGGCTCAGTTTCTGAGCTGCTGAGCTGAGGTTAAGTGTTTATATTGGCTGAGCTGCAGCTGAAATGCAGTCAGTGTGTTTGTTGAAAAGACTGGTGTAGAATTGAGGTGTAACCGCTGTCCCGTAGGCTGTTGTTGGGGTAGGAGAGTCAGAGAACACATTACGTTGCAGTGCATGCTGGGGACTGTAGTGCAGCACATTGTGAAACCAACTAATGGAACATTAAAATACCTTTGCGGGCCGGATAGGATTGTGTGGCGGGCCTGATGTGGCCCTCGGGCCTTGTGTTTGACACATGGGCCCTCAGCCATGACTGATGTCCTTTCTTCTTGGCAGGATGTGGACACACCTGAGTGATCCGGAACACCGACCTGGCAGACGTTCTGCTTTTATAGAATCAGTCACACTTCTTAATCATTAACTAATCTTGTGCATTTGATTGGTAACACCTGGCTGCTGATCACTGTGTTGATTGTGGAAGTAGGAAGGGTGCGCTTATTTTACCACCTGAGCTGTGTCCCAGTTTAGGGGCTGCATCCTTGAGACGGACACACTTTCATAGACCACATCCTTCGAAGGACGCAGCCCCTGAATTGGGACACAGCTCAGGTGGGAAAATAAGGCTGTGTAGAGCCGCGAAGGCTGAACCGAAATGATACGGTCTGCTCTACGGCGGATTTCCTGTTTGCGTCACAGCACCGCTGTTCCCACCCTTAGGGCTGCATCACGAAACGCCGCTCCTGTCAAGTTCTTTTAAAGTTCTTTAATGATGGAGAAACACATTTCTCGGCCGCGTATGAAGGAAACTTCAAGATGTCTAGTCGCGCCGCTGTGGCGCAGTCGGCCTTCAGATGCAGCCTCCGCAGGACGCAGCCCCTGAATTGGGAAGCAGCTCTGGTTCCTGAGTGTTGGTTTACTTTTGGGGAAAATTGACTATATATTGAAGTCTGGGCTGTTTTTGTCACATGAGGTTATTTTTGTTAAATTAAAAAAATAATAATAAATAAATAAAAGTTGTTAAGGACCTGAGGACACAGTTGTTATTTAGGATATAATAAATAAAAGCAGAATTGAAGGAGGGTGCGCTTTCTTTTTACCCTCAATGTAATACGTCTGTATCGGTGCATGCGTGCGGGTTCAGGTCGGGTTCGGGTTTCAGATGGAGCAGAACCAGTCTGGTCGGTTGGGGGTTTCAGTTTCACAGCTGTGCAGATTTCTAGTCTTTCAGCAAAATATCAAATGGAGTATAATTAAACTCAGCCCATTGTGCTGAATAGCCAGTCGCCTCCTACTTCCAGTGTAGCTCTTTATTTTTTAATTTAAATGTGTTTAATTTAAAAGTGTTGTGATTTTGGCCGATAGAAAGTACTGGGAGTGTGTGAGGGTATTCATTTTGTCCATAGTGTGAGCTTCAGTTTTAAAAAAAGCCGATTTTTTGGCTAATTTGGCTTTAAAGAATCAGAATCTCCTATAAGAAGTCATGATCAGTGCATGTCACTGCATAACAAGTATTAGCGCTGTGCGTAAAGAGTAACGACACCCTAAGACCTTTTTTTGAAATGCACTGTTCTAGAATAATAAAATATACCAGCCTTGCTTGAAATGTAAATGCGTCTTTCTAAACTGTAAAAATATCATATTTATCATGGTCAGTTCCGCCTCTGCAGCGCCCCCTCTGGTTCAACTCTGCCATAGGTGTGCAAGACGAGTCTTCGTACCAAAGTCGTACGTGTCACATTATGCAAATCAGTCCACCGATGTTACCGTCGAGAGCGCGGAGAGAACCACAACCCCAGCACCTCCTCACAAAGTTGTTATGATTAGCACATTTATTGATCACGTTCAACGTAAGATTAGGTGACCTTGTGGACAGATTAAGTGAGGAATCTTGCAAGTCTCCATAAAGCTGCTGATAAGAGCAATGAGCAGCTTGCAGAACGTAAGGATTTAGGGCCACTGCAGCAAATCCTGGCTGACAGTCACTTTATTTATTCAGAATTCAGTGCATCTAATAAATCAGGACTCGGGTTAAATCGAATATGGACCTGCTGAACAGATGATTAGAAGCGAGCTGTCACGGTTTTAGGGAATGTTCTACCATTCAGTCTCCTCTGCCGCTCGCTGCTACTCATTTTCTGGCACTACGTTGACTCTTCGGCGGCTTGAGTCAGCGGCTCATACTGTTAAGGCTCAAGACGAACTGCCTGATCAGAAACTCCTTTCCCTAGAGAAAAATCTTCAGCCTCGTAAAACCTCTCTGTTACAAAAGTGCCGTTTGATTCTGTCTCTCTCCATATTTTCTGGTAGCTAACGTACGCTATCTCTAAAAACACAGTAGCCCAGCCCACCCAGTTTCCCTCGCAGCCCCCCCTCCAAACCCGTACATCATTGCAGGGCCCCTCCCAGCGTGCCCAGCATATTTTTGAACATTTTTCATTTTTCAAAGATGAGCCAGGGTGAAGTTCACTGAAAATATTGGGGTGTAGTTACTCTTTAAAGCAAAACTTTTGAAAAAATATAATATAATATGTAATATAACTATAAATATATATATACAGTAATGTGGGACTAATAAAGGATTATCTTATTTATTTTTGTCCTTTCCTTGTTGGATCCAGCCCTTTCACAACATGGGCAGCCTATTTAAAGTCTATTATCGAAGCCTAATTCTACTCTCCCCTTGTTTTTTTGTCTAAAGGAAGTGTTGCTATGGAGCAGTCATCTCCTGCGGAGCAGCAGTCGAACGCTCAGGATCAGAGTCCGGCGAGGCCAGAAGATGCCGGCCATCCGTGGGCGGTGACGGAGTCGCTGCGTCTGCGCCGATTCCTCTGCTACGGCTCTGAGAGCGCCACCTACAGCACGAGGGAGCGCGCGCTGGGGCTGGAGAGCGCGCTGGCCCTGATGGAGCTGGTGCAGGCCGGCCGGGGCCAGGAGGTGGTGGAGGAGGTGAAGCGTCTGAGCCTGGAGGGTAAAACGGTGCGGCCGAACCCCGCGCTGTTCGCGCTGGCCATCTGCACGCAGTACTCGGACGCCCCGGCCAAGCAGGCGGCCTTCCGCGCCCTGCAGGAGCTGTGCAAAGCCCCCGGGCAGCTCTTCACCTTTATTCAGTACAAGAAAGAGCTGAAGGACGGCCTGCGCTGCGGCATGTGGGGGCGTGGCCTGCGCAGGGCCGTCTCTGATTGGTACAACGGCCAGGATGCCCTCAGCCTCGCGCATACGGTCACCAGGTGCAAGCACAGGGCCGGCTGGTCCCACCAGGACCTCTTCAGACTGTCACACATGAAGCCGGCCAACGACTGTGAGAACCTTAAATATTACCTTACAGAGTTCTTACAGTAGTATAATATGAGATCATATTTAATGAGAACTAATAGATATATTGACTAGATTTAAGATGATTTTAATATGTTAAATAATGTTTTATTATGCCAAATTAATTAGTTACGTTCTTGAGAGTTAATAACTCACATTGAAATTTTGAGATACTAATATATTAGTCAGTATTTTGAGAGGTTAAGTCAATATTTTAAGAATATAAGTGAGTAATTTGAGAATATAACTCCTTTTTGTGAAATACTGAATCAATATTTGGAGAACAGAAGTCAGTATTTCAAAAACATAACTTAATATCTTATTCTGAGATGCAGAAAGAATATTTCTAGAATATAAGTCATTGTTTAGAAATACTTAAGTGTACATTTTGACTTACTGCCAGAAACAGGGCAGTTTTTTCCTCCTCCAAATGGGCTTCCATATGTCCTTAAATAATAAGTTAGATTAATAATCAAAAATAATAATAATAAAAAATAATAAGTAAGATTAATAACTGAACAATGAATGAGTTAAAAGAGTTGAAGGAATAAAAATTAATATAACACAGTTGGGGCTGATTGATTGTTTTTATATCAAAATCTGCAGCAGTTTAAATGAGTGTTGTTTTTAAATTGTAAGAGCCGCTGTTTAAATTGTATCCTATATTTAATGTTGTCTTAACGAGTCTTAATTTGGGAAATTCAGCCTAATAACAGAGGTTGTGAGCTGGCAGTCTGGCACACTGCATTCAGCGTTCAAGAGAGTGACAGAATCGATTGTAGATCACTTGATTGCTAAAATAATTGATAGCGACACCTAGATTACAAATATTTTTTTCCAAATGATTAAAATTAGAAATATTTGAAAGAGTGAAATTTTGATTAATAATTTAGTTTTATTTGGGAAAATTTAACTGCACTCTGGCGCTGTATCTATTTGTGTATATATCGTTGCTGTCAGGACAAAACTTTGTATTTCCATTTTTTGACATAATTTGAAGAAGGCAATCTCCCTTTATGTTGTGTCAGAATTTTTATGATGAATGGACCAACAGAAATGGTCCAAAATGACTCGGGGAAAAAAAAAAAATATCCATTTACTTCTATTAAAAGTTGAGAACATTTTTCCTTCTCCTGTAAAGTTACCTTTTTGGAGATACAAAGCTCTGTGTATATATATATATATATATATATATATATATATATATATATATATAAATGTACACTTTTCTGTCTGTCTGTGGGAGTCACTGGTGTTACTGATCCTCATTGGTGTTACACATAAAAAAGGTAATGAGCTCATAATATTCTGTATCATAATAAAATCATGAGCTAAATGAGAAAATCTCTGATAACTGAAAGACACAGTGGACTCACCATGTGCTTTTCTTCATAGATCCTCAGAAAACAGGTAAAAGGAAGTCGAGTGATGTCATCAGTGTGACTTTTATTTCAAAATAAGAGATTTTTTGTTACGCAGTAACACCAGTGACACGACTCCTGGGGACAACAACTTTCATTATATATTTTATAATATTTATTTGCCATTTGTTTTCTTTATGTTATTTAAATCATATTTCATAGTCATTTATAGATTATTGTAGTTAAAATTGCAGAAAAACGTTTTTTTCTTCAAAATATGTCCTCAGCCTTCACACATGACTGTGGGGACGAGCTCTTCTGTGGTGCTTGGAGTTCTAGATAATTGATTTAAAAACCAATATTGCTAAATTGAGGCTCAAGAAGGTGTAATTGTTAAAATAACGTATTGTTTCATTGTAAAATATAAATTAATTGTAACCCTAACATGTTTTTCAAGTGTAATATATATATGTGTGTATATATATACACACACACACACACACACACACACACACACACACACACACACACAAAAGTATGTGTGTATGTTAGCTCTACCCCTAGTTGTAAGCTGTTTACATTTTTCCTGCTTTATTTTGTGTTTCTCAGCTATTGAGCTGATTAGCAAATACCTGACGAAGGGCTGGAAGGTGGTCCAGGAGACGTACGCGGAGAAGGAGAACTCGGAGGAGCTTCTGAAGGTGTTCACGTACCTGGAGGCCGTGGAGAAGGCCAAGCACTCGACTGATGAGCAGGAAGTGGTTCACCTGATAGAGGAGCACAGGCTGGAGAGGGAGCAGATACTGACCAACCATCTGAAGTCCAAAGAGGTCAGAATCGCCGTCATAAGGTTGCAGCGCACACACGTTCCTTACTGTTCAGGCTCAGCTTAAGCTTTAAACCACAGAAAGTTATTGGTTTATACAGGTTAGGGACAATATTCCATATATGGAAACACTTCATCATATAAATGCTCTCTAAAAACATTATATACACTCTAAAAAAGATTAAAAAGGATCTTCAGTGGCTCTTTAGTAAAGAAAATGGCTCCTCATAGATGGTTCTATGTAGAACCTTTTCGAAAAGGGTTCTTTTATTGTTACGATGTCAAGTTTGTTACAGTAGAAGAACCCATCTATAGCACATTCTCCATCAATCAGAAGAACACTTTCATGATCCGTGTAGAGGGTTCTATGAGTGTCAAATGTTAAATCAGCTTGAATTGAATTGAAATGGAATCAAAGTGCTGCGTTGACAGTAAGAGGCTGTTCGGCACTGAGTTATGTATAACTATGCTGTGATGTTTTGGTTCAGGTGTAACAGCTGTGCTCAAATACAGCACAAAAAGAGTTTTTAAATGAGAGCTGCGGGTTAATTATATCGTATAATGTTGTCTTAATGAGTCTGAAATTTAACCCAATAACACAGAACCCGAGAGCCGGAACTCTGGCACTCTGCATTAAAGGGAGTGACAATATTGCACCTACATCACTAATATAACTGAGCCAAAACATCACAGCATAATTATTCATGAGTCATTGTGCTAAATAGACTATTATTTATTTGATGGCACTTTAGAGCTGATTTAAATGGACTGTGAGGGGTAAATAAACACATCTAACACACTAACACGTTTGCAGTAAGGTGCTACACTGTTAAAAATGATGGTTCTTGAGTAAAGAAAATGGTTCTTTATACAACCATGAACACTTTGGCATGAGGGTGCTATAGATGGTTATATATAGAACCTTTCTGAAAAGGGTAGTATATAGCACCCAAAAAGGGTTCTTCTATTGTTACGATGTCAAGCTTGTTGCATTAAAGGCAGGGACAACACTGCACCTACATCACTAATATAACTGAGCGACTGTAATGAACCAAAATATCACAGCATAATTATACAGGAGTCATTGTGCTAAGTAGACTCTTACTATCAGTGTAGCACTTTATTTGGTTTATTTATTTGATGGCACTTTAGAGCTGATTTAAATGGACTGTGAGGGGTAAATAAACACATCTAACACAGTAACACATTTCCAGAACTTTCTATCAGACAAAATCACTGCATACATAAACTTATTGGCTCTTTAAAGGACCAAACTGGTATTTCAGTGTTTTCAGTTTTAAATCAGCTGCCTGTTTAAACAGCATGAGTCCAAAATAGTGCTGCACTCTTAAAAATGGTGGTTCTTCAAGGGTTCAAGGAATGTGCTGTAGATGGTTTTATACAGCATCTTTTTGAAAAGGGCTCTTCTAATGTTACAATGTCGAGGTGGTACCAATAGAAGAACCCTTTTTGGAGCTATATAGGATTTTATATATATATATATATATATATATATGTGTGTGTGTGTGTGTATGTGTGTGTATGTGTGTGTGTGTGTGTGTGTGTGTGTAGAAAAGGTTCTAGATACCATCTACAGCACATTCTCCATCTCCATCTGAAGAATCCTTTCACTATGCAAAGAACTCCTTAATCATGCAAAGCGTTCTTTGAGTGTTTGTGGTTCTATGGAGAACTCTTTTGTTTACTAAAGAACCCTTGAAGAACCATCTTTTTTAAATGTGTACATTAAGAGTCTGCAGATAATTTCTTAGATTTAAACACGTAGCTCTCATCTGTCAGGTCGTTTCAAAGTACCCTCTTAAATCCTCTAGGGTCCTTTAATAAAAGATAAGGTTCTGTTTAGAACCATTGTATAAACCTCTGTATGGTATGTAGAACTGTTTGCATGCTTAACTGGTCCTTATCATGGTGAAATGGCTCTTCAGCTTCATGGAGAATGTGTTCTAAGTTGTTCTGTATAGAACTTTTGTGAAAACGGTTCTGTATAGCACCACAAAAAGGGTTCTTCTATCATATATATATATATATATATATATATATAGCAAGCTTGACAACAATAGCAGAACCCTTTTTGGTGCTATATAGGACCATATACAACACATTCACCATCAATCTAAAGAAACATTTTACCATCTATATAGAACCATGATTAAAGGGTTCTTTGCATCATGAAATGGTTCAGACAGACCTTTTCGAAAATGGTTCTATATAGCACCCAAAAGAGTTCTTCTGTTGTTATGATGTCAAGCTTGTATACAATAGAAGAACCCTTTTGGGTGCTATCTGGAACCCTTTTTGAAGAAGTTCTGTATAAAATCATCTATAGCACATTCATTCACATTTTCCATCAAACTAAAGAAACCTTTCATTATGCAAAGAACCGTTTAATCATGCAAAGGGTTCTGTGAGGGTTCATGGTCCTATAGAACCATTTTCTTCACTAAAGAACCCTTAAAACACCATCTTTTTAAAGTGTGTAGTTGAAACTGACTTAAAAATGAAAAAGATGCTGTGTTTAGCACTAAACTGTGGTTTCACACTGACATGGCATCTAACATGGTACCTCTAGAACCAGCCGGTCAGAACCAGCTGCTGCGTTCCTCATGTGTTCTGAGAGTTAGGAGAGGTGCGATGTGAGGTGGTCCGTCTGAGAACGGTTCTTTATCCCTGATATCTCCTCACTGTTTCAGGTGTGGAAAGCTTTGCTGAAGGAGATGCCAGTGGCTGCTCTGATGAGGCACTTGGGTAAAATGACTGCAGATAAGGTTCTGGTGCCGGGCAGTCCGGAGGTCGTGGCTGTTTGTGAGAGGATTCAGGATGACCAAGCTCTGACCAAGGTGTGATTATGGACCTTCGTCAGTCTTCAGGGGCCGGATTCACCAAAGTGTCTTAAGAAAGAAAATCTTCTGAATTTTTTCTTCACCTTATTCTTAAGAAAAAAGTCGGGACCCCCAAAAAATCCTCTTCTTCAAATAACTTCTTCTTTTTTTCTTAACTATTTTCTAAGAATTCACCAGTCAGGCATAACATTATGACCACCTCCTTGTTTCTACACTCATTGTCCATTTTATCAGCTCCACTTACTCTATAGGTGCACTTTGTAGTTCTACAGTTACAGACTGTAGTCCATCTGTTTCTCTGATACTTTGTTAGCCCCCTTTTACCCTGTTCTTCAGTGGTCAGGACCCCCATGGACCCTCACAGAGCAGGTACTATTTGGGTGGTGGATCATTCTCAGCACTGCAGTAACACTGACGTGGTGGTGGTGTGTTAGTGTGTGTTGTGCTGGTGTGAGTGGATCAGACACAGCAGTGCTGCTGGAGTCTTTAAACACCGTGTCCACTCACTGTCCACTCTATTAGACACTCCTACCTTGTCGGTCCACCTTGTAGAAGTAAAGTCAGAGACGATAGCTCATCTGCTGCTGCACAGTTTGTGTTGGTCATCTTCTAGTCCTTCATCAGTGGTCACAGGACGCTGCCCACAGGACGCTGTTGGCTGGATATTTTTGGTTCTCAGTCCAGCAGCGACACTGAGGTGTTTATAAACTCCAGCAGCACTGCTGTGTCTGATCCACTCAAACCAGCACAACACACACGAACACACCACCACCACGTCAGTGTTACTGCAGTGCTGAGAATGATCCACCACCCAAATAACAACTGCTCTGTGGGGGTCCATGGGGGTCCTGACCACTGAAGAACAGGGTAACAGAGTATGCAGAGAAACAGATGGACTACAGTCTGTAACTGTAGAACTACAGAGTGAAACTATACGGTCAATGGAGCTGATAAAGTGGACAGTGAGTGGAGATACAAAGTAGTTGTACTTGATAAAGTTGGTGTAGTTCTCTGTAATGCTAATCCAGTTGGTCCCACTTTCCACATCTTACAATATGTTTATGTATCAATATCATTAGATATGTACATCAGAACTATCAGGCATCGGCCCACATTTCCCATATGCCTTCCTAGTGTTACTGTAGTTGCATACATAGTATTTGCACATTTCTTAAAATATGAAGCTCTGATTTTAGGTGTTCGTAACTAAACACTGTCCACTTCTCTTCAGGCTAAAACGCACCCCTTCAGCGTCCTGGTCGCCTCTGAAAACTACAAGCAAGGTCACGGGAAGCGAGGCAAGCGAAAATGGGAGCCGAACAGAGACATCGTTCACGCGCTGGACAGTGCCTTCTGCAAAAGTCTCTCAGTGAGTACCACAACAGCTAAACATACAGGCTTATAATCACGCAGTACATACTCAAATCAGTGAAGTACGACCAGAAAGTTTAGGGCTACAGCAGGGTGTCCAGACTTTTTTCAGAAGAAGGCCAGATATCAAAATACCTGAGGGCCGAAATATTCACAAATGATTCAGAATATGAAAAATACAACTGCATAGAGCAGTTAATTCCATTAGTACCAATTAGTACCAAGCATTTTGCTGCCGATCCATTCTGAGAAATTAGGGATGACCCTGAGGTCCATTAAACAATGGACGATCACGATTATATAGGCTGGACTGATGCCAAATTAGGCCCAGCCTATACATGACAAGTGACTGGTGTGACAGACATGACCATGTAGGGGTAAACAGAAATAGTTAGAACAGAATGTTCTAGGTACAATCTCATCACATGCAATGGTATAACACACACAATACCGAGTATAATGACATATAGCACAGCAATGAACACGTTACACAGCAGTACGTTCCTTCAGCCCCTTAAATGCGTATAAATCTCCCGCCAGAGGATTTAGGGCGTGTGCATGTTCACGCTGGTCAGAGCGAAATGCATCAGCGCAATGGGATTTGGTTTTGTTTTGGTTTTGGTTTTGGTTTTGCCAAAATCAGCGGTTCACTGTGTTAGTTTCAGCTTTATGGCTGCAGTCTGGACTAAATGTGGTCTGTAAATGAAGCTGTAGGTCTAATCAGAGAAGAAAGGCTCTGAAACTTTAGCAAACTTCGTTACCGCAGTGCAGCGCATTACAATAATTTTAAAGGAAGAACTGCAGCGTACTGCAATGACGCTGACGTGGTGGTGGTGTGTTAGTGTGTGTTGCGCTTGTGCGAGTGGATCAGACACAGCAGTGCTGCTAAGGTTTTTAAACACCTCAGTGTCGCTGCTGGACTGAGAACCAAAAACACCCAGCCAACAGCGTCCTGTGACCACTGATGAAGGACTAGAGGATGACCAACACAAACTGTGCAGCAGCAGATGAGCTTTCGTCTCTGACTTTACATCTACAAGGTGGACCGACAAGGCAGGAGTGTCTAATAGAGTGGACAGGGAATGGACACAGTGTTTAAAGACTTCAGCAGCACTGCTGTGTCTGATCCACTCGCACCAGCACAACACACACTAACACACCACCACATCAGTGTTACTGCAGTGCTGAGAATGAGCCACCACCCAAATAGTACCTGCTCTGTGAGGGTCCTGACCATTGAAGAATGGGGTGACAAAGTATCAGAGAAACAGATGGACTACAGTAACTGTAGAACTACAGAGTGAAACTATACGGTCAGTGGAGCTGATAAAGTGGACAATGATTGTAGATACAAGGTAGGTGCACCCAATAGGTTTAGGTGTAGTTAGTGGGCAAACAACTCCAAATGTCTGAGGGAAATTATTTAATCTCCAGATCAGAATATCAGTCCAAGTCATCAGTGGTGATGACTGAGTTGCTGATTAATGTTCTCTGCCCCCCTCACTCACTGTTCTCCACCTCATTTCCACACAGAACAGTTCTCTCAGTGCTGTACTGACTGTGTCTCGTCTCATGTGCCTCGCTCTCTGTGTCAAATCTCTGGTGGCAGAACGTGGAACCCACGGGGAAGCGGTTTGTGGTGGGAGTGGATGTGAGCGCGTCTCTCAGCAGTCTGGCTCTCGGAAGCTCCGTCAGCACCATCGCCGTAGCTGCAGCGATGAGCATGGTAAGATTAGCACCAGCCCGTTCACTGACGTCCACTCTCTTCACCTCTTACACCACATTCAGCTGCTTTACCCCTCCCTGATGAAACAGGGCTGGGTGATGTGGCCAGACACGTTCTTCACAGTGGATTTGCTCATTTCATTTGATATCAGTAATTAGCCATCAATATTATTCGCGTTTTGAAGATTATTCAGGATCCTGAACAAAACAAAATGCTTCATCATCATAATCGGCATCATCATTTTATCAAAAATACCTTAAATGTGTATCAGCAATAGCAAAACACTGTGATTTAAAACCGTCCATTACATTTTTGCCACATTTGTCATTTTCCGACACCGAAACTGAAAAAAGACAAAAGATACACCCTTAAAAACTGACTTCAAGGGTTCTTTACTAAAAGGAATGATTCTATTCTATATAGAACCTTTTCATGCTTAAATGGTTCTTCGCATGGTGATATGGTTCTTCAGATTGATGTAGATTGTGTTGTTTTTGAAATGGTTCCATATAGACCCAAAGACGGTTACAAGCTTGACATTGTAACATTAGAAGAACGCTTTTTGGTGCTATGTAGAACCTTTTTCAAAAAAGTTCTATATAGAACCTTATATAACACATTTTCCATCAATCTGAAGAACCATTTCACCATGCAAACCATTCTTTACTAAAGAACTGTTATAGAAAAATCTTTTTTAAGACTGAAGTGTAAACTGAATGAAAGTGTGATTCAGTACGATTCTATAATTAGGGCTGAATGATTAATTGGTTTTATATCGAAATCGCAATTTAAGAAAATGCAGTTTTGAAATCACGAGAGCTGCAATTTATTAAAATGATCAGAATTTGTTAAATTATCAAAGACATGGTGTGACGTTTTAAGAGGGGAAATTTGACCTAATAACACATTTGTATACTGCCTGTAGAGTTAGACCAATCAGAGGCAACCACACCTCCACGTGTTGTGACATCACAACCACAGCTTGGCTCACTACGTTCAGGGGTTTAAGCCTCAAACCAGAAAAAGTGGACATTCTGGTTTTCTTGCTAAAAAAACAGCTCTCAAAATTAATTTATAGAAAATAATCACAATTTAAATTGCAATCAAAATTAGATACCTTCCCCAAATCGTTTATAATATAAATGTAATATAAACTGAGTAGAAAGAGAAAACAGCATATCTAAGTGTATTAATAATCCGATGTACATTATCAGTATTGAAAATGATTTGGTTTAGTTCATTGTTCTGTCATTTGGGTTTAGGCTGAAACAGTATCTGACTGGGTCTATACTGTTCATGTTGGCTTGTGTTTCGGCCTCCGGACACATTCCTAGCGTGTTCCCGCTCTGACGGCATGCGCAGAACCTCGTCAGCAGTATTCCTCCAGCTGCCGCACTGACGCTGCCCGTCATATAAACACCTAGATGTTGTTTGTTAAAGCGGGACAGCTGATCTCTTACAGAGCCTTTTATAGAACATAGTGAGCCCTTAGAAGTCTACGGTTATTATTGATATTTTGCCGCACGTTTGAGTTCACATTACATAATTATTCATACATAATTACGTAATTAAGTTATGCTTTGAACTTCTGACCTTTTTCTGTTTGTTTTCATATCCAGAAAGAGAGAAACATGGGAAAATACTCCTCAGGGTTGAGGAGAAGTCAGCCCTAAGAAATCAAGACTTACACATTCAAATTGCATTGTATTATTATTTACTGTTACTGATAATTAGTGATTAGTAATCACTGTTGTTATCTATGCTGCTTCTTCTCTTATTATTATATATCTACTGGATTTGTCCCTCAGTTTTCAAGATGTTGACACCATTCCAGCTTCACAAAGTTCAGTCTGATCGGGAATGGTGTGCTTGTATACAGCCTTTTGATCTGACGTATGGTTTTCGTACAATCTTCGTTAAAAAATTACGATTTTTTCCCCATAGAAATAGACGGGGTGCAAAAGTTGCATGACCATCTACTGTACTTCTGCTTAATCTCAGGGCAGGCCTCCAAGCCCAAATTCAGTGTTGTTCTGACCCGCACTGATCTGTTTGTCTTTTTTTTCATCCCTCGTTCTTCCCATAGACTCCCATTCATTTTCATCCACATAAATTCTATTATTTGTTTACCCAACAGCCACCGAGCTGCATGTCCTCACTCAGGGCTGGTCCTTAAACTCTCATCCACAGCCACACTGACCCGCAATTTCCTATGTGTCATGTTTTCATCCCACATTCATCCCATAAACTCCCATTCATTGTCAGAAACTCCTAACAACCGCTCAGTAAAAGTAAACACCCCTCACACCATAGCAACGGCCTAGCAACAAGCTTAAGCTGTGCAATCACTCTGTATTTTCTTCAGGAAATGCACTTTTCTAGTTACATGATTATAGTTTTGTAATGAATTTCATTTACATTAAATCTATATACTATAATCTATTTTTTCCCCTCCTCTCCTGTTTAATCATATCTAATTCTACCCACTAAATCTGGAAGGTTTCTATATCAGTATTCTATCCCCTGTGTACCTGCATCTCATCTATTTATCTACCTCAGACTCACTAACTGCACATCCGGAAATGTGTACAACTGTACATATAGTTTTATTTCATAACTTATTACCGTACAACTGTACATTGGAAATAGTGCACTAGTGTATATTGTGTATATGTGTATATATTTAGAGTCAGTGTATATATTTTTGTTCTTTTATATATATAATATAGTATTTAAATTCTACAAGGGGGGCTAGGTGCCACGAAACGTGATTTGATTAGTTAAGACTCCCCCAATCACATCACACAATCAGCACTAGGAGGGTAAAAGCTAGCACAGGCGTCCTACTAGACCTATGAAGCGCCACCGCATCTTTTCAAGCATTGAGAGTGATGGTTGGAGACGGGGGGGCCATCCTACCCACCCAGAGAGAGCGAGGACAACTGTGCTCTCTTGGACTCCCAGCCATAGACGGCTGTAGCATCACCAGGGATCAAACTCGTGACCTCCTGATGACAGAGCCAGCACTTAGACGGTTGTGCCACTCAGGAGCCTGTTTTTACTTCTTTTAACCTATTTTTTGATTTCAAAAATGACTGTAGGGTTTTTCAGCAAGATTCAAATCAAATTCAATTCATGATAAAATATATTCTCTTCTGCATACAAATGTATGGATTAAAATCTGCATTTACGATTTCTCCACTTGTTTGAATGAGCTGTGAGTCGGAAATAATTCATAAAAATACATGCTTTTTGTCATCAGTAATAACTGTAATTCTTAGTTAATTCTTTATTAATTTTCACACTGTATTTTAAATAATAAGATGTGTAAATTAATAACATTCTTTCTTTCTTTCTCTATCTGCTTGTTGTCTGTTGAAGGTCATTGCGCGCAGTGAGCCGGAAGCTGAAGTGTTGATCTTCTCTGAAGGAGCCATGGTTCCCTGCGTCATCTCAGACGACACGTCTCTGATCCAAGTGACAGCACAGCTGGTGCAGGTAGCAGTTTCTCCTATTAAAAGAAAAAATTATATATATATATGTATATATATATATATATATATATATATATATATATATATATACATACATATATATATAAATTTATATATATATATATATATATATATATATACATACATATATAAATTTATATATATATATATATATATATATATATATATACATACATATATAAATTTATATATATATATATATATATATATATATATATACATACATATATAAATTTATATATATATATATATATATATATATATATAAATTTTTATATATATATATATATATATATAAATATATGTATATATATATATATATATATATATATATATATATATATATATATAAAATCATTGTCTGCGTAACTGATGTGCTGAGCGTTTAGCCCTAAAATTGCTTTCATTGATTAGGAATCACAGGCAGACACCAACTATATTATCATTATTATCATTCACATAAATATATATTTTTAAAAAAATACCCCTAGTTAAATTCCATGTTTTGTTGATTTTCTAGGTGAAAATAAGTGAACACGCCCTCTACAGAGAACATACTTAAATATGGCATTCCTGCTAATTTTAGAGTGCAATTTCTATTTATTTGAGTTTAACGTATTGGTTAAAAAATAAAACATACAGTATAAAATGTGGCTTTTACACAGGCAACCTGCATTTAATGTTTTATCCCCCCCCCCAAATATGTTAAATTCAGTAAATAAACAGTAATTGTGTATTAAAATGTGCAGAAGTGTGTCTCTGTAGGGGATGTGTGACTTATTTTCACTTTAGAAAATCAACAGCAACATGGAATTTGACCGGGGTGCCCAAACTTTTGCACACGACTGTCAGTAATGGAAGCTTATGCACAGTCAGCACAACTGCACGTCTGAAAAAACATACTCGCTTCAAACCATGTGGATGATATTTTGGCCAGTGAAATCATCTTAAATGTAGTGAAATATCTAATATTTCATATGTTGAGATTGTTGTAAGAGTTTTATAAGATTAAATAAATTATTCTAGACATTTTTTCTAGACAGTTTTAAGTCAGTTTGTGAAGTAGGGGTGCAATGATGATTCGACTTAGTCGACTAAAATCGACGACCAAATTAGTTGGCAACTAATTTAGTAGTCGTTTAGTTGGTGACGTCTTTACGCGTCTTTTTCACGCTCACTAGAAACGTTTTGACATTACCGCTTACTGGAGAGTTAACAACAGCGCGATGGCAGCCTCGAGAACAAAATCCTCAAAAGTGTGGAGCTAAACTTAGAAAAAAAGGTGGTCAGTTGTGCTGTTTGTAAAGCCGAGCTTAGGTGGCGCGGGAGCACATCCTCCATGCTGGAGCATCTGAAGAGGAAACTCGTCAGGATGAAGAAGATTCATCTCGGTAAGATACGCCACGTCCCAAACCGCATACTAGCACACTAAATAGTGTGTAAAAATAGCGCATATACCATTAGTTAGCTAATGTTAGTGTTAAATTCTGTCCTACTTCGTGTTCTGAGCTGAGCTGTAACATTTTCTGTTTTTTTCGAAATGCTGCTCTGTGGAATTGTTATTTGAGTTGGAACAGAGGAGCAAGTAACTGTTATTCACAGCGACCCTGTTCACTTTCCAGATAACGCTTACAGTTTTGAATTCACGTCGAGGCCACCGGTGCGTTCAGTTTTGGCGAATACAGGAGGGCGATTACAAACAGGTTTCTGCTCTCCGCGAACGTTTATCTCCACTGACAAAGGACGTAGTTCTCCGTGAACATACAGGGCAGCTGGACAAAGGGTTACCATTGAAATGAAGCGTTTACACAAAATCGTTCAACTGTTTATAGAGAAGTTTGCTACAAACAATCTCCACTTTCCCATCCTCTCTATCAGAGCGCATCTTCTCTGCTGAGGGGAGTATCCGCTCTGAGAGGAGAGCGAGACTCTCACAGGAGCACGGAGAGATGCTGACTTTCCTCCTTTTCAATAAAGACCTGTGATTTGTAGAATTTAGTTGCAGCAAAGTGTAGACAGACGGCAGAACGCACAGATCACAGACTGCACTGTTTATATTTAATATTTAAATTTAGATTTTTTTTTATTTGATTGAAGAAAAACTGATTTAGTTTTGTTATATTTTTATTTATAGTTTTTTTCTTTATCTTCTGTATTAGCAGGAAAGTTAATTGAAACAGTGAATTCTTGAATGTTATTCATATTTATTGTCTTCATCGTTTGTTAGCAAATGTATAAAACAACCTCAAGCTAAATTTAAAAGCTAAAAACTACATAAAAGTTAATTGGTAATGTAGTGATTCATAATCCGAATAATCGGTTATTCGTTTCAGTAATCGATAGATTATTCCACTATGAAAGGGAAGGGAGTTTTCAAATATATTGTCATTATTTAAAAATATATATTAAGTATAAGCAGTCTAAATAATAATATTATTATTGTTGTTAAAGTGTTTTATTGTTAAAATAATATAATTAAATACAATATGGTACCACCAGTATCTTCAACTATATAGTCATTATTAATATTATTAATATAATTATTTTTTATTTATCACCAGCATATTATCAGTGTTATTATTGCCAGCAATGGCAGCCACCAAAAATATCATTATTAATGTTGTATTATTAATCAGAGCCTGACTCAGAGTTTTTTATTATATAGCAATCCCAGTCCCATTTCTCATTTTAACCCCTACCCCTTGTTTTCGAGTGTTGCTCCTTGGAACTGAGTTACAGGGCAGTGGTTGAGATCTTCCCTCTGAAATGGGACCCTCAAATAAAGAGCATCACTTCATTAACAGCTACCAGCGCTGCTCTGTAGGCGACCCTGCCAGTCTGCAGTGACAGCAGAGGAGGGTAAAGTTCAGCTCCTCACTGCTGGGCTTTAGTTACATTTAGGGATCATATGCCTTTAAAGAGAGGGGCAATTATTTATTATCACCCACCCCTAATTCTTCAGTGATATGAAGCTGAAGTCAGATATTCTCCAGATTCTTGTTCGAATTTTCCCGTTCCACCTTAAATGGAGCAGCAGTTCTGATGCCTGAGGAAAGTTAGCTGGATAACTACCGAGATGTCAGCACTGCTAGCAATTTTTCATGCTTGTTATGAAGAAAAGACCATAATACACTGAAACAACATTAAACTAAGATAATACAGTGATTATCGGAATTTTTAATAGAGAAAATTCTCACATTTGTGTGTTTCTTTGGTCTCTTGTTCTCCATCTTACCATTTTTTTCTTTTTTTTCTCATAACTCTCTGCTTGGAGTCTCTGAAAAACCTCCGTTTGGAGGGTCATGTAGCCCCAACACTTCACCCCATCCCTCTATCTCAACAAGAATCGGGACACCCTGATTCTGGGCTGAGTGGTAGGGGCGAGGGGTGAAATGGGACTGGGCCTAAGTTGTCTATTTAAATTTAAGAAGTGTGTCCATTGAAGACTGATAATCCTGTCAGTCATTAAAGCACTGTTTACTAAATGAAAACATAACATAGAAATATAACATTACATCTGCCTGTGTTATGAGTTGTCTTCATTTTTAGTCCCTCAAAATCAGGATCACTATCAGCCACAAAGTTTTCAACTTTATTATGCTTTTATCAAAACCACGACTCTGTGTTTGGTCTATAAAACACAGCAGGTGCCAAACTCATTTTCAGCGTATCAGTGGTTTGAGTGATGTTTCTGATGTCCTGGGTAAGATTAACAGCTGAGGATGCAGTTTGTGATGAGTAGCTTAGATTTTCTGTTGTGTTTGTGTGATTAATCATGTTAACCCATGCTTTGTTTTCCTGCAGGTGCTCAGTGGTGGTACGGACTGCGCTCTGCCCATAGAGTGGGCATCAGAGAACGACAAGACCGTGGATGTCTTCATCATATTCACCAGTAATGAAACACAGTTTGGAAGCACGGATCCTGCAGAAGCGCTGAGGACATACAGACAAGTATATATTTTATTGAAATGTCTTTATATTGAAATGAAGTCTGTATCATAAACTTGGCACATCTAAAGCCCTATTGGAGCTGGATTAGTTTTACCAGAGGACGTCCTGTATTGTAACATGTCAGGATTTGGCCGGGAGATTTGTACAGGATAAAGTATCTGTAAAATTTCCCAAGATTAACTCTGATAGCCCAAATCAAAACATCGTACGTAGTAACTTCAACTTTACTTATATTACTGTATAATACTACGTTTAATTTTAATCTTAACACTAGTGGTTTTTCCATCCATCACTTTCACGGGAATTTAGAAAATGTGCAAAAATAAATAAATAATAATAATGGAACGAATGGAAAAGCTGAAATTTGAAGCAACATCACAGAGTAGAACAAGGTGGACGTCGTCGGGGTGGCACGGTGTAATGCTCTAAGAACTGGTCAGTCGCTTGAGAATAAAAATGAAAGCGTGAACTTCAATAACAGTAGAGTTAGCCAAGGGCAAAGCCATGATAGACAGTCCACATCACATTGGGCAAGGCAAAAGAGTAGTCAAACTAATCAGGGTCAGACGCCAAAACAGTGAGTCCTAAATCAGCAAACAGCACCAAAAAGGGAAATCTAAAGACAAAGTAAAAATAAATAAATAAGTAAATAACACTCAGTATGCTCAGTTCACAGTGACAATACTTTACAAAGACCAAGCATGACAAACAGGTGCAGAGGTTCAGAGTGCGCAGGGCGCAAAAACGGCGATTTTCAGAAAACGCCATTCATTTTTCCCTTAGAGAAAAACTTCTTAGACCCAGAGTTCCTTGTACGTGCATGAATTCACTACAGAATAACTTCATCGTTCTATGTTTGTGTTCCCTCCATCAGAAAACTGGTGTGTTTTCCAAGCTGATTGTGTGCGGAATGGCGACCAATGGCCTCTCCATCGCTGATCCGGACGACCGAGGCATGCTGGACATCTGTGGGTTTGACTCTCGGGCCGTTGACGTCATCCGTAACTTTGTGCTGGACGTCATTTGAGAGCTGTGCACTGTGGGAAATGTAGTTTTTCATGGACTGAACCTGCCCTGGTGACAACACGTTCCTAATGGGCAAAAAACAACAATAACAATAACAACAAAAAAAAAAAAAAACGCTGAAATGAGTTAATCTTTCAGTCGTCTGATTGGGCCAAGTAATAACCAGCACATTTTATAAAGTCCAGCGGGCTGGATTGGTATTTCAGTCAATATTATCTAGAACAGGTTATTTTATTCACCCAAATTCAGTGATGAGGTGTTCTAAGCTATAACACTAAGTTTGACTTTTATATTTTTTTGTTATTGGGGGGAAAATAGAGGAATTATTGGATTACGTGTCAATTTTAAAAAGCTAAATGCTCAATACAGTGCACTCCTGAGGAAGAAGCCTCAGTATATTCCACTGATGAGATGTTTAATGATATGCTATATGCTAATAGAGGCCTTTCTTTATTATGTCTGATGTGTATTCGTTCCCTAATCACTATGCTGTCAGTTAAAACGTACAAACAAAAAATGTATTGCTTTTTATCCTTGTATTGTGGCAGATACATACATACATACACCGATCAGGCATAACATTATGACCATGTTTATGTCCTTGTTTCTACGCTCATTGTCCATTTTATCAGCTCCACTTACTATATAGGTGCACTTTGTAGTTCTACAGTTACAGACTGTAGTCCATCTGTTTCTCTGATACTTTGTTAGCCCCCTTTTACCCTGTTCTTCAGTGGTCAGGACCTCCATGGACCCCCACAGAGCAGGTACTATGTGGGTGGTGGATCACTCTCAGCACTGCAGTAACACTGACGTGGTGGTGGTGTGTTAGTGTGTGTTGCGCTGGTCTGAGTGGATCAGACACAGCAGTGCTGCTGGAGTTTTTAAATACCTCAGTGTCACTGCTGGACTGAGAATAGTCCACCAACCAAAAATATCCAGCCAACAGCGTCCTGTGGGCAGCGTCCTGTGACCACTGATGAAGGACTAGAGGATGACCAACACAAACTGTGCAGCAGCAGATGAGCTATCGTCTCTGACTTTACATCTACAAGGTGGACTGACAAGGTAGGAGTGTCTAATAGAGTGGACAGTGAGTGGACACAGTGTTTAAAAACTCCAGCAGCACTGCTGTGTCTGATCCACTCGTACCAGCACAACACACACTAACACACCACCACCACGTCAGTGTTACTGCAGTGCTGAGAGTGATCCACCACCCAAATAGTACCTGCTCTGTGGGGGTCCATGGAGGTCCTGACCACTGAAGAACAGGGTAAAAGGGGGCTAACAAAGTATCAGAGAAACAGATGGACTACAGTCTGTAACTGTAGAACTACAAAGTGCACCTATATAGTAAGTGGAGCTGATAAAATGGACAATGAGTGTAGAAACAAGGAGGTGGTCATAATGTTATGCCTAATTGGTGTATAATGAATGTTCTTCCAATTGATGAAGCCCAGTGTCCTAAAAGCCCATGTAAATCACTTTGTATAATATTTTGTTTTAAAAAAAATACCTCAGTTGTGATACTGTGTGGCCGAATAACTTTGACTGAATTTTAGGTTCAGTTTCAGCTGCAGTTTAGAGTCTATTTAAACAAACAAACAAAAAAAAAATGTAAGAGTTCACGCTCTTGGTGCACTATTGACCTGTTCATCAAAAAATGAGCGATGTACAGCTGTACGTTGTGAGGAACAGTTGTTACGAGAAGGAAAACAAATGAACTGAATAGTAGCACTGTAGCTGGAGCTTGCTGTTAGGTTCATTTCCATGCATTAAAGGGGAATTCCACTGATTTTCCAAGATTTCTTTGTAGCTGAATCATAAACAGAGTCGTTCAGAGTGGTTTGGTGTGAAACGCTCTGTTCTAGATAAACTTACAGAGTCAGAACTGTTCACAGTGGTGGTGATAGGAACCAGACGTCCACCTCTAAAAGCTCCCTCACAGAAAGTTCCTACAGTAAATGGTTATGAATTCACTGCCTGATGACTGAGACACTGTTTTATGATAGGTTTAGAACCCGTTCATGGCGGAGGGATACATGCTGAGGCAAAATAGTCCCCAAAGAAAGATTAAGTCACAATTATTATTCCCACAATGGGGAAATTTCACCTCCGCAATCTAACCCATCCGTGCAGTGAAACACCACATACACACTAGTGAAGACACACCTAGGGGGCAGGGAGCATACTTGCCCGGAGCGTTGGGCAGCCCTATCCGCAGCTCCCGGTGGGGCAGTTGGCTGTTGGGTGTCTTGCTCAAGGGCACCTCAATCACGTCCTGTCGGCTCAGTGGCTCAAACCTTCCGGTCGCAAGGCAGGTTTCCTAACCTCCAGCCCACGACTGCCCCTTATTATCATAAAACTTATTATTTCAGATTTTCCACTATTTTCCATCATCAACATTCCATATAAACTCAGAAGACTCGTGTAGGTTCACTGGTGGTTCTGGGTAGTAAATAAAATGTCTATATTTGTGTTGTAGTCATGGCGACCGCTGGTTCCTATCACCACCACTGTAAAGACATCTGAACCATTTCACACCAAACCACTCTTTCTGATTACTCTGATTTATTCAGAAATCCTGAAGCTGTAGTTCCACTTTAAGTTGCTTTGCATTTTGTACGTTTGCTGCCGTTTTGCCTCCGATAGAAATAGTTCAAACCCAAAGTTTGACATTACTAATAAGGAGTGAAAGGAATTAGCCGCCAGTTACCTTTTATGCTAACTGATGGCTACTAGCTTTCTTTCGTTCTTCGTCATAACGAGGTGCTGGTTATGATAACGCTGGTAGGAAGACTTTAAAAAGGCTAACGGAACCGTAGAGGTGATAGCTGTGGGTGCTAACGTGATCTAACAGTCCTGTAGAGACAGACTATCTGTTGGTTATAAGAGATGGAAATGAATGTACTTCTGGTTATATATTTGTAACATTAGAGACTTAAGACATTCTGCTTTATACCTCCATAAACATTGGCGACATGTCAAAGATATGGTTGGGAAATGGCTCACGCCACACTGCCGCCGTCAATCTTCGTAGCTGGTATTGACAATGAAAACGAGAAAAGCTGTACTGTTTACCACTTATCTAATAAAAGTTAATTTTCTAAGTCTCATTAACATTTGTTGGAAATCTTTGTCTTTGTCCTAAGGAGCGAGTCTGGAGGCTGCAGGAGGCTGGAAGATGCTTTTACTGTAGAAGTCCCAGCCTAATCAGCCAGTGGTGGACGAAGTACACAGACCATGTACTTGAGTTAAAGTAGAGACACCCAAGGTAAAATATTACTGCAGTAAAAGTAGAAGTTCCTCCCTTTAGACCTCCACTTGAGTAAAAGTACAAAAGTATTCACCTTCAAATGTACTTAAGTATGAAAGTAAAAGTACTAAAAGATTAATTATGGCTCTGATGTCCTGTTATCATTTTTATAACAAGACTCGCTTCATTAACTCATTTTAGGTGAAAATACTCCAGTGTCGCTCTTGGTAAACCAGTCTTTTAATAGAGTCATTAATTAGTGACGCTGATGTCTATTAAAATTATCATAAGCACAAAACACTGAAGGCGAACAGTTTCCATCAGGTAGAACTGAGTGGCTCTGAAATCACTTTTTACAAACAAGCAAAGTTTCAGTTTAAGATTTATTTTAATAAAAACTTTAAACTCAGATTCACAAATGAGTTTCCTTTACTAAACTGCATCTGTAGGTCTCTGTTCATAAACATAAACTAGACAAAACTAATTTACTATAAAATGAAAGTGTTTGTATAAATTCAGAAAAAAAATTTCATGCACCATAAATGACTTTTATATTGGAATATGGTAGGGCGTAGTTGGATGGCAGTAGCCTTCATGCACCATGAATGACTTTTATATTGAAATATGGTAGGGCCTATCTGGATGGCAGTAGGCTCAGTGCACCATGAGTGACTTTTATATTGAAATATAGTAGGGCGTAGTTGGATGGCAGCAGCCGTCATGCACCATGGAACACAGTATGTGTTCATTTATTATTGAGTTTTAAGTAGAAATTCAGTTTTAAATATCTGAAAATGAATTTATACCTTCCGAGAAACTGATTTTGACAAATCATAATAACATAATAAACATATGTACTGTATATACAGTACTGTGCAAAAGTTAGAGTCCCCCTTCATTTGTTTATTTTCAGTCAAAACAGCCAGTAAGTACAAATATTCATTTTGCAGCATCACACAAACTAAAGATAAAAATAATAAAAATAATACGGCTAAATCTACTCTCAGCTGTGAGAGTCAGTGAGTCACCCTTTCCCTTAATTCCAGCTTCCATTCTTCTCAGGAGACTCACTTTCAGCTCCTCAAAGAATCTGCAGACACACCTCCAAAGTTCAGTCTTAGAAGCTGGTTGATGATTTTCTGAAGTAATCAAACACATTTAATGGTGTTGAGGTCTGGACTCTGGGGTGGTCAGTCCATCATTCAGCTTCTTTGTTTGATGTGTCCGTCTCCTTTTCTCAGTGAGGTTCTTCTTGACAGCCACACATCCTTTCAGACCCACAGCGCTGAGTCGTCTTCTCACAGTGGAAGGATGGATCATTCTCAACACTGCAGTAACACTGACGTGGTGGTGGTGTGTTAGTGTGTGTTGCGCTGGTCTGAGTGGATCAGACACAGCAGTGCTGCTGGAGTTTTTAAACACCTCAGTGTCACTGCTGGACTGAGAATAGTCCATCAACCCAAAACGTCCAGCCAACAGCGTCCTGTGACCACTGATGAAGGACTAGAGGATGACCAACACTAACTGTGCAGCAGCAGATGAGCTATCGTCTCTAACTTTACATCTACAAGGTGGACTGACAAGGTAGGAGTGTCTAATAGAGTGGACAGTGAGTGGACACAGTGTTTAAAACTCCAGCAGCACTGCTGTGTCTGATCCACTCGTACCAGCGCAACACAAACTGCGATACACCATCCACTTTTGGCTTCATAGGATAGTGCTCTTGACCTTTATATATTTATAGAGGGCAGCAGGAATGCAAGAATCTCACAGCAAGAAGGGCCTGGGTTTGATTCCCGGCCGGGTGACCAGGGTCATTTCTGTGTGGAGTTTGCCTGTTCTCCCCGTGTCTGCG